TCATGGCTGTCTGTAAGTCCAGCTCCAGGGGTTCTGACACTTCCCCACAGATACACATGCAAACAAAAACAATTATGCACATAAAAATAAATAAATAAATAATAAAAAACAAGAAATGGAGTGGAAATTTAAAAAAAGAAAAGAAAAAGCAAAATAACAAGGACCAAAACTTCATAGAAACCAAGCTATACTAAAGCAAATTAATCCAAAGTTCCAGTCCTGAAAGAAGCAATGATTGTTTCTATTGTTATTATCCTCTTATATTTATACTTAATATTTTTTTTGATACACGGTTTCATGGCTCAAACTGGCCTTGAACTCATTGTAGAGGTAAGTATGGCATGCTGTAACTATACCAGTCAGAAAACGTCTGGTAATCAGAAAGCTCGAAACAATGAATGGACCCCAAGACTTTGAAACTTCCCCAAATGTCTCATTCTGGCAGGAGGAAGAGCCTGGGGCCCTGTGCCAACCAGGAGAGGAAGAGATCCCACAGTTCTGACAACTGTTCAGACCACCTTGGAGGATACAGGGGCCAATAGGATGATGCTGGCGATGACCACATCTTGACCGAGACTGCTTGCTTACAGATATCTCTTTGCTTCTATTTAAACTTAAACCTTTTGTTAAGATCTTGAAAGAGGGACCTAAGTAGGGGGGAATGTTACAGGACCTTCCCAACATGCCCACATTGAATACACCTCCTAATTCTGATTTCTGTATGAATTTTTCTCATTAATTGTCCTACTGAGGACAGGTGACTGGGCCTGGCTACTAGGCTCAGACATATCAATGCCCATGGCAACTCGATACATTTTGATTTTTGGTAACCAATTAAAAACAGCCCAGAACTCTATGGCCCCTAGTTTGAGAAGTACTAGGTTGCAACAATTCTACATAGGAGCAATTATTATCATACCTACTTTGAAGATTGGGAAACTGAGGCAAGTTTAGGTAACTAGTCATGACCACAAGTTAGCGACAGAGAAAGTCAGAGCTGAATTCAAGGCTGGGTCATAATCTTCGATGTGAGTTGAGTTGGCCACGGAGTATTCACTTCCCACCAAGTACACATGGGCCTCGGTCCACCCACCTTCTACACTGTAAGTCACTCTGTAAGATGGCACTGTAAGAGCCATCTCTGTCTCCACTTATTTCTTTCTTTCTTTTATTTATTTGTGTGAGGGTGTGGAGTCAGACGTCAGCTTTTCTGAGTTGGTTCTCTCCTTCCCCCATCTGGATTCTGGAAACTCAACTCATGTTGCTGGGTACCTTTACCCAGCAATCCATCCTTCTGGCTCACAACGATTTCATTGTTGGTTATCCTTTCTCTTTCTTTTCCTTCCCTTTCTTTCCTTATTTCTTTCACAGATATTTAGGTCTCTGCCTGTAGTTGACAAAGCATCTGGCCCCACCACCATGGAATGTGGCAGATCTGCCTGTCTGAATGTGTAGAATGGATCAGAGTCCATGTTTGTCAAACAAACTCTACGAAATTACACTGAAGAAATGGAACACCCAAGTCACTCAAGCCCTTCCTAGCCACCTGTTTTCCTTGGTTGTGCTGGGATGGTGCACAGGCCTTGAGCGTGCTAGGCAATGGGCTCTGCTGCACTTCGTCCCCAGGAGTATTCCAGGCAGGCGCTCCACTATTGAGCTATATCCTCAGATTCTTTCCTGACTTAGTTTTCCTTCTTCCCTTCGAGGCCTTTCTGAGCCCCTGGGAGAAACAGGTCTCCAGGAATTATTGTGTGCAGTTTCACCCGTGACCAGCAGGGTGAGCCAGCGGTAAACAGTGGTATTGGGGATTAAGTTGCGGGTATTAACAGGATCATCCACAAATTCATGGTGACTCAGCACTTCCCTACTTCTCCAGTTCCTTCCTTGTTCCTCCTTAAAAATTACTTAACATCAGCTTGCTTTAGTTTCGTTGTTTTGAGACAGGGTATCAGGTAGCCCACGAAGGCCTTAAACTCGCTGAGTAGCCAAAGATGGTTTTGAACTCAAGTTCCTTATCTCTGCCTCTCCAGTGCCAGAATCGCAGGTGCACACACTACAAACAGACGCAAACTGGTTTTCATGAATTATGATTCTTACTAAGTCCCCTGAAAAATGGAACTTCTAGAAAGAGCCTCAACAAGAGGGAATCAGCAGAGACAGGGGTCCTGGTGGCCTCCACCCTTTTGGGGTGCCCTGATAGTCAATATCTTAAGCATCGCCAAGGCTAGCAAGGGTGTGGCCCTTTATCTGGAACTTTCAGGCCTGGTCTAGAAGTTAAACTTCTAGACTGAGGGGCCAGGAGGATGCTGGGGGATCCTGTGCCCTCTCCTGGGACAGCAACGAAGTTTTAGCTCACTGACCCTCCCAGGACTGCTGTTGCTAGGTTGTCACTCTCTTATACTGTCATCTCGTGCATTCCGTGTTTGCAGTAGCTAGCTGCCTCAGCTTTTCGATTTTCTGTTCCAGTGATTAAGCTATGAGCCTGAGGACGGTTTGTGTGTGTGTGTGTGTGTGTGTGTGTGTGCGCGCGCGCGCGCGCGTGTGCTTAAGAGCATGAACTGGGTTCAAGTCCCAGCACAGCCATGTGCCAGCAAGTCATTCTCTCAGTCTTCTCATCTGTCAAGTGGTGTAATACTAGCTCCTATTCCAAGCGAAGGCTACCAGGATTTAACACGTGTTGGGAAATGGCCTGGCTGGTGCTGGCTCAGAAAGCCCTTTCTGGGTCTGCTAACTAGGACCACCACCACAGTCACAAATACATTTCTTAAGAGCCTCCGGCTTACATATAACTGTCAGAGGAGTCCCCCGGGTTCCCATGGTTAATCCCTATACCTTTGACTTACATAAAACTGAATCTCAGAGTCCTCCATTTCTGCCCCCGTGACCACCAGCTGGCCCCACAGGCTGGGCACTAACGGCCACAAGTGTTCTCTGCCCGGCCCCAGGACGACCTTTCCCAGTGCTCCGCCCGGGTGCTCACGACTTCCCCACCCGCCCCGGTTCCTGCCTGCTTGCACCGCCTGCGCCAATGTGGTGAGCCCGGTCCTGCCGGTGGCACCGAAGATCGCGATCTTCTTGACAGTCATGCTGCGGGGTCCTGGGTCCGAAAGGCTGAGAGCTCCGAGGACGCGCGGGAACCCAATGGCTGCAAGGTAGCGCGCGGTCCGCCCTTCCCCTGGCAGAGGGAGGGGGCGGGGCCCTCCGTTTTGGGTTCAAAGGGCGGGACTAAGTCGACCACGCTCCCTACTGGGAAGAGCGCGAGTGGGCGGAACAGGAGTCAGATTGCATTTTTCAGTCTTCTTCGATAGGCGTTTAGAAGCGGAGGCTACGCCTCCATCTACAAAAGGAGCGGGCGGAGCTAGAGCAGTTTGTCACTCAAAGCTCAGCCTCCTAAAGCCGGCTACCCTTAGTGGGAGGGGAGGGATGGGCGGGGCCTGTCGGTGAACCACGCCCACCGCACTCCTTGCTCATGCCCCTTTCCCTACACCTTGGCTTAGGAGAGGCGTGTGCGCGGTGTGATTCTGTACCTGTGTGACCGCATGGTTGTGGGCGACGCCCTGTCTCGTTCCTTGTGTTATAACGTGAATTGTGTATTGAAGTCCAATGGAACGGTTATTTGGCTGCTGTGGGGTGATACTGTGAGGGGGCACTCAGTCTCTGGTACGGTGTGAGTGTGAGGTCTGTGTGAGGTAAGTTGTAACGGAGCGTGGCACTTTCGGATTGGGATGGTTTGTGACACCACATGTGTCCTGTATGGGTGTGCGATAATGTGGTTCCATTTATGTAGGACTGTGTATGACATTTACTGTGATTCTCTTTGTGTCCTGTTGAGGCTATGATATATGGGTATGTAGCAACACAGGGCGTGTCTTCTGTGCCTTGGCAACTAGCGCGACATTTCAAGTGTGTCAGTCTGTAATTGTAAGCTTTGTGATGTGTGAGTGTAGACACTTCGTGACACTTTGGGAGTGAGTGTGTGACATGTGTGACTGTATGTGCCAACCACGTTGGTGGTGGTGGCTGTGAGTGTGTCATAGTGTGTGACCCTGCAGGGCATTTTACAGTGTGTAGATGACTGCGTGTGACAGCACTGGTGGTGGTGACCTTAACTGAGTGTGTCATGATGTGACCCTGCAGGGCACTGTTTCATCCTGAACACTGTTCAGGTGAATTCATGTGACCCTTACCTTGTGGTGGCGGCTGTATCTGAGTTTATCAGAATGTCTGGCCCTGCAGGACACTAGACACTATGTTGATGATTACATTTGACACTATTGGTGGTGGCTCTATCTGAGTGTGTCATAGTGAATGACCCTGCAGGGCACATTCCAGAGAGGAAAACACAGCAAATGACTATATGTCAGTTGGAAGATTTGACCCTGCGTGACCCTACGCGAAAGAGTGACACCGTGAGAGTGTGCATGTGGAGAGGGTGTGTGTGACGTTGCCAGAGGCCCCGGTGTGTGAGAGTGGCTGTGTGGGAGTGTGTGACGCTGCCTCGAGCGCTCGCGAGCGCGGCTGTGCATCACACGCGTGGCCCGGTGTGTGACAGCGCGGGCGGCGTGGCGG